GACCTGATAAACCAGGGTCAGATGAAAGAGGAGGAGGTCCTCCCCTAAGAGTTGGCTTAGAAAGGGGCAGGAGGGAGATGAGGGATGGAGGGTCGAATTGGCAAGAAATGAGGGAGCAGAATCCAGCTGGGATACAAAGGTAATAAACTGTAACATTTATTTTAAAATACTTTTATTAAAAAATTTTAAAAAAATAGTGCAATGGTTGTGGTTTGAACAAGAGAGAAGTATGCAAGAACATTATAACTATCTAAAACATTAGCCTCACACAGACCCTCTTGGAAATATTCTCAGGGAAAAATACAGCAAGGGGAATAGTGATTTAGTTTAAGAAAACAGAGAACATGAGTTTCTTTTTTTTTTCTTTCTTTTTTTATTTTATTTTTTTCTTATCAGTACATTTTATTAACTCTGTATCCCAGCCATTTCCCGATCCCTCATTCCCTCCCAATCCCACCCTCCCTCCCTCATCTCCTCCTTGCCCCTTTCCAAGTCCACTGATGGGGGGGCTCCCCATTCGTCTGATCCTGTTTTATCAGGTATCTTCAGGACTGGCTGCAAAGTCCTCCTCTGTGGCCTAACAGGACTGCTCCTCCCTTGGGGGGCAGGGAGGTCAAAGAGCCAGTCATTGAGTTTCTGTTAGAAATAGTCCTTGTTCCCCTCACTATGGGAAACCAATTGGTTACTGAGCTACCACAGGCTACATCTGAGCAGAGGTTCTAGGTTATATCCATACATGGTCCTTGGTTGAATGTCAATCTCAGAAAAGACCCTGTGCCAGGATATATTTGGTCCTTGTGGAGCTCCTATCCTTTGATCAATCCTCATTTAGAAAGACAGATGGGATGTGCATTGAATGTATGACAGGAGTCTACTGAGCGCATCTGAAAGACTCTAACTAGCAATGTTTTCAAAGCAGATACAACGACTCATGACCAAACCTTCGGCAGAGTACAGGGAATCATATGAACATGAGTTTCTTATAGGAGCACTGGACAGGAACATTTTTATATTACAATAAGAAATAAGTAGGGGAGCAGAGTACAAGTGTCTCTAATATTTATAGTCCAAAGTATCATCTATGTATAGAAAACACAAGCAAAAGTGACTAAAGCCTTGCACAAAAACAAAACAAAACAAAACCAAAACAAAAAAACTAATAAACTTCTACTCTAGAGAAAAGTACTCCCATTTACAACGGTTGAAAGTTTTGTTCACATATCTTTGGAGTTGCTTCCATTAGAAGAACAGAGGTTGTATACCAATGTGATGTGGACATGCTAGATAGCTTATGTGAAACAGTCTCAGAACAAAAAACATGGTCAGAAACATCACTCAGTTGGCATGCCAGAGTCCTTTCCTTAATCCTCAAATTATCATACAGTGGGCAGGGGAGCACACCTGTCTTGCCAGCACTCGGGAAGTTGATAGAGGAGCAGTAGAAGTTCAAGATCACAGCTACACAAAGTTCATTTCCAGCCTACATTACAAAAGGCCCATTTCTTAAAGCCAAGACAGATTAGAAAACAACAACACAAGGAGGGATTAGGGAGGAGTGGAAGGAGAAAAATAAAGTCATTTTGTCTCCACTGTTTCTCCTCTATTCTTTGTTTCCTGCTGTCAGCTGTTTTTATGTCCTATTAGCTTCTTCAAAGTAAGATGAGAGCAGGAGTATTTTTTAGTCATCAGCTCTAAACCTGACAGTTCATAAGAGGACAAATTCACAAATGTTACCAGACTGGTATGCTGTGAAGAAGGCTGCAACCTCGGCACTGATGATTATTATTGTACTTGAAAGGCCTAGTGGTGGGTGTTACAGGTGAATTAAATGATCACAGTAATAATAACAGCCATTTTTTTGTTTTCTTTATTTTATTTTTTATTATTTACCCTTTATTCACTTTGGATCCCCCCATAAGCTCCTCCCTCCTTCCCTCCTGATCCCACCCTCCCTCTCCCTTCTTCATGCATGCCCCTTCCCAAGTAGACTGATAGGGGAGGTCCCCCTATCCTTCCTTCTGATCTTAGTGTATCAAATCTCATCAGGAGTGGCTGCATTGTCATCTTCTATGGCCTGGTAAGACTGCTTCCCCCGTCAGGGGGAGGTGATCAAAGAGCAGGCCAATCAGATTATGTGAGAGGCAGTCCCTCTTCCCATTACTATGTAACCCATTTGGACACTGAATTGCCATGTGCTACATCTGTGCAGGGGTTCTAGGTTATCTCCATGAATAGTCCTTGGTTGGAGTATGAGACTCTGGGAAGTTCCCTGTGTTCAAATTTTCTGGTTCTGGTGCTCTCCTTGTGGGATTCTCGTCCTCTCCAGCTCTTACTATTTCCCACTTCTTACATAAGATTCTATGCACTGTGCCCAACAGTTGGCCATCAGGCTCAGCATCTGCTTTGATAGTCTGCAGGGCAGAGGCTTTCAGAGGCCCTCTGTGGCAGGTTCCTAGGTTGTTTCCTGTTTTCTTCTTCTTCTGATATCCATTCTCTTTGCCTTTCAAGATGGGGATAACAGCCATTTTTTCCTAAAATTATTAACATTAAACATCTCTGGGTTCATCATGGAAACACCAAAACTACAATACAACTATTTGATTGACTGTAAATCAAAATCAAGCACTCCTCCTCTCACTCTATTGCCTGTTTTGGATCACTTCCTCCTGGAAGACTGCCTTGCCAGGCCTCAAGGGATGAGGATATTCTCAGTACTGATGTACTGGGAGAGATGATATAGGGAAGCTCCCCTTTTTCTGGTGGGAAAGGGGGAGCGGGATGGGGAAGCAGAGAAAGGGAGAACTAGGAGGAGAGGAAGGAGAGGGAGGAAACACCCTTAGGATGTAAAGGAAAAAATCTGAAATGTAAAAACAGCAATGTACATAAAATCAAAATAAAATAAATTATTAAAAATATATAAGGCAGAAGTCTAGGTCTGGCATTTCACAATATCAATACTTCTGTGTGCTTCTTAGTTACCAGTTCACAAAACTAACATTCCAGTAGCATTCAATAGTAAGAATGCACCACTTAGTTATGTGTCTGCAAATTAGCTATACTTCAACAGATCAGAGTGAGACTGTTTGCACATAGCTCAAAGCTTATGCTGGACCCTGGATACTCATTCTTTCTGTCTCATTGTCTTCTGTTATGTTAACTATCTTCTACTCAGGCAAAATCTACTGACAATACTTTTGACAAAGCATGGCAGAAAATGAGCCTGCCAAGACTTAGCAATCAAAAACCTTTAAAAAAACAACAACAAACAATATTAGTGAATTTGAGGAGTATTTACAAATAGGAAAGATGGCTTTTATAACTCAATTTTAAAAAATATAATTCTTTATTATTTTATGGAAAACAAATATTTCAATTGGCAATTTCATGGGTAAACTTCTACCTTCTGGAGGACCCCAGGGGACAACATTGCCACTCAATTCACATCTTAATGACCTTGAAATTTTCTATGTCATTTAATTTGCTGACTAGAATCCAGCCCCACATCCTACTATAGATTTTAAATTTCAGTTAAAAGTAACCCAATGGTAATTAGTAATCTGTCGCAGGGAATCATGTTACATCCATAGATAGCAGCTGAGAGCAATGGAGTAGTGCCTGCTAGTACTCAGGTGACCGTGTCTATTTTACTATTCAAGATCCTCTGCTCAGGACATTGTTCTGCCCAAAAATAAGATGAGTTTTTCGAATTTAGGTAACTAAAGACAATCCCTCACAGATAGGCTCAGAGACATTCTAAACCCCAGAAATCTCTCACAGTTATGTCTAGTGGCATGCTTCATCTGTGCCAGGTTGACAATTAATACTAATTCTAACACATTTTACTGTGTTTGTGTAAATAGAAAGACTCCGAAGTGTCACTTGAACTACATATTCCAGGATATCAGTAAAGAATATCTGAGGAATAATTTCAAGATAAACATAAGCTTTTCTTTTAAACATAAATTATAAAAAACAAATCATTGCTTGCAGCTACATACCACAGTGGGTATCGATTTCAAAATAACTGGTGTGGTTCCTGTTTCCCCACAATACTGACAAGTCGATTATGCACAGGACCTCTTTCCTCTGCAGATCAGAAGCTGAGATCTCCTGAGGACAGACACTGGCAGAGCAGGCTCCTTCACCCTGACCATGCTTCCCATGGACTCCTGGCCACACTCTCCTCACAGTGTCCTGCTGCTGACCCTGCTGCTGGGACTTACAGGTGAGCATGTCCCAGGAATAGCATCATCTTCCTGCATCTGGGTGACCCCTGCCTTAGAAACTAAAGGACTCCAATTGGCCACCTGAACTGTCCCAGGAAAGAAGGTCAGAATATTGTCTTAGGTCTCAGAGCCAGAGCTCTGAGCATTGCTCTGCATGTCCATAAGTTTTAACAGTGGGATAGAAGCATCCCATGATATGATGCTTAACAAATGTTAGTTTCTAATATTTAAGCTGAAGAAAATATTTTAAGCAGAATCCTAATTAAATCACTCTATCCCTTGAGTTATTCAGAGCCACCGAATAAATTCCAATACAGCTGGTAGGACCACTTGGCTCTGAGCTCAGCAATCTCTGCTCACTTCCTGAGACATAGAAGCTGACATGCAGGCCAGTGGCATGGCTGTGGGTGAAGTGTGTCCTGCAGTGCTCAGCCACCATTTCTTCTAAGTTAGGTTCCTTATTTTATCCTCTGACTTCTATTAGCTTTCTCATATGATCTCAGTCTTCTCATTTCGTGCTGCTTCTTTAAGAGGTTGTTGCTAGGGTTGCCATAAAGGCTGGAGACAAGAGTCAAGGTGTCCATTGAGCAGATTTCTTCCAAGATGCTTCTCCTTTAAATTGCACTGTCTCATTCTGTCTTCACACATGATCTCACCTCAGCCTGTGTCTGTGGATTTTCTCCATTTCCTGAAAGAAAAAGAGTCACATTGGACTAAGATCCTCCCAAATATCCCCAATTGACCTTAACTCTTTAAAGACACTTTACCATGTACAGTCACATTATGGGTTTATGCTTTGATATGTAGAATATTAACAATTCATCCCTGGTTTTCAATTTTCTTTTCTATTATTATAATTTATTACAATTTATTCAATTTGTATCCTGGCTTTGGTCCAGTCTCTCATCTCTTCCCAATCCCTTCCTCCCTCCTTTATTCTTCCTATGCCCCTCCCACAGACCACTGATAGGAGAGGTCTTCTTCCATTTCCCTCTGACCCTAAGCAATCAGGTCTTATCAGGACTGTTTGCATTGTCTTTCTCTGTGACCTGGCAAGACTGTACCCCTGTACTCCTCAGAAGAAAGTGATCAAAGAGCCTCTCACTGAGTTTATGCCAGGGACACCCCTGCTCCCCTAATAGGGAGCATTCCTCTAATAGGGAATCCACTTGGAGACTGAGTTTATAGGTTACATCTGAGCTGGAGTTTTAGGTCCTTGATGGGGGTTTCATTATCTTCAGGGACCCCAAGACTCAGATATTTTGGCTCTATTTTTCTCCTTTTGGAGATCATGTCCCCTCTATGTCTTTCTATCCCTGCCTTATTTCATGAAATTCCATGCATTCTGCACAAAGTATGGCTAAGAGTCTCAGCCTCTGCTTTGATACCTCTATGAGTAGAATTTAAAATTTTTGTTTCAGTACTGAGAAGGTGTTCAGAAAAAAAAATATGCTTTGAGTCTCAAATACATTAAAAACTTACATGTTAAAAGCACAGGCTCTAAGAGCAACAATCAATAAATGGGACCTCATGAAACTGAAAAGCTTCTGTAAAGCAAAGGACACTGTCATCAAAACAAAGTGACTGCCTACAGATTGGGAAAGAATCATCACCAACCCTTTATCTGACAGAGGACTCATATCCAGTATATATAAAGAATTAAAGAAGCTGAAAAGCAGCAAACCAAGTAATCCACTTAAAAAAATGGGGAACAGAACTAAAGAGAGAATTCTCTGTAGAGGAATATCAAATGGCAGAAAAGCACTTAAAGAAATGCTCAACCTCATTAGCCATTAGGGAAATGCAAATCAAAACGACCTTGAGATTTCACCTTACACCCATCAGAATGGCCAGAATCAAATACTCAAGTGACAACACATGCTGGAGAGGTAGTGGAGAAAGGGGAACCCTCCTCCACTGCTGGTGGGAATGTAAACTTGTACAACCACTCTGGAAATCAATCTGGCACTTTCTCAGACAACTAGGAATAGCGCTTCCTCAAGATTCAGCCATACCACTCCTAGGCATATACCCAAAAGAGGCTCAAGTACACAAAAAGGACATTTGCTCAACTATGTTTGTAGCAGCTTTATTTGTAATAGCCAGAAGCTGGAATCAGCTCAGATGCCCCTCAACTGAAGAATAGATGCAGAAATTGTGGTAATACTCCATCTATACAATGGAGTATTACTCAGCAATGAAAAATAAAGAAATCATGAAATTTGCAGGTAAATGGTGGGACCTGGAAAGGATCATCCTGAGTGAGTTGTCCCAGAAGCAAAAAGACACACATGGTATATAATCACTCATATAAACATAAAACATAGAATAAACCCACTAAAATCTGTACATCTAAACAAACTAAGCAAAAGAGAGGACCCTAACTAAAAATGCTCAATCCCCATCCTGAAAGGCAAAGAGCATGGACATCAGAAGAAAAAGAAAACAGGAAACAACCTAGGAACCTGCTACATAGGGCCTCTGAAAGCCAGAAGAAGAAAACAGGAAACAACCTAGGAACCTGCCACAGAGGGCCCCTGAAAGCCTCTGCCGTACAGACTGTCAAAGCAGATGCTGAGCCTGATGGCCAAGTGACAGGCAGAGTGAATAGAATTTTATGTAAGAAGTGGGAAATAGTAAGAGCTGGAGAGGACAGGAACTCCACAAGGAGAGCAACAGAACCAGAAAATTTGAACACAAGGAACTTCCCAGAGACTCATACTACAACCAAGGATTATCCTTGGAGATAACCTAGAACCCTGACAATGAAGCCACTTCTGATGAGAACTGAGAGAATAAGATCAGAAAGAAGGAGAGGAGGACCTCCTCTATCAGTGGACTTGGGGAGGGGCATGCATGCAGAAAGGGGGGGGGAGGGTGGGACCAGGAGGGGAGGAGGGAGGGGCTTATGGGGGTATACAAAATGAATAAAGTGTAATTAATAAAAGTTAAAAAAATCTTTTCAACAGATATTGGTGCTACTTTAAAAGATTGATTACATAAATGATAATAAGGTCTAAAGGGAGAAAGTCATGGGAAATGTCAAAGCCTAAACCACCCAAGGATTATGGCACTTCAGCCCCTTCCCTGTGCTCTCTTGAGGAATGTCACTTTTACAATGTATGTTCTTGGATCATTGACTTCTTATAACTTTTTTAAATTCCTTTCCAGGAATTTAAACATTATGATGCCCTTCAGGAATTTTCAGTAGAATTACATTGTTCTTTAAAGGCACTGTGCTACCTTGTCATCTTCTGGTTTTCAGTGTTCTGCTTCAAGATTCACGCATCTGGTGATTTGTCATCTTTGCTACACTGGTGAAAAGCCTTTATGATAAATACCTCTTCCCTAGAAGATTGTCTGTTTTGCAGTGTTGGTTTTGTTTCCAGTCTGGCACTGTGGTGAAGACCGTCTGTATATTTTAGCTGAAACTAAAACTCTGCCACAGTTCATTACATCATCATTTTACAGCTCCGTGAGCGCACATAGGTGAGGATCACAGTGAGTGTACACAGCAGAGGGGATGGGAAGCCCAATGTGTAGGCATCATAACAGTGAGAGTGCTGGCACTAGTAGAATAATATTTTTTTAGTATATAAAGGGTTAAACTCAGTAGTGGTAAAGTGCCTTTGGCATTGCAATCTCTGGTAGAACATGGGGCCCGAAGCTCCTGTCCATACATCAGCCAATGGCATGAGCCACCCTCGGTACAGACACAAGCAAGAGAAGAACCACTGTGTACCTACTGTATTGTTTGATCAGACCATGGACATTTCAGCATGCTAAGATAGGGCCTAGAGGCAGAGTGGAGACAGGTACTGCATGTCCATCAGTTCTCAGTCTTAGCATTAATACAACCCACAGGGAAGGCCACACAGCATTTGACAAAAGTGATACAACATACTTGACTCTTAGTCTCATGCAACATGCTCTATTCTAATATGTAGTGATACCCTGTTTTCCTGGGTTATGAGGCCCTGGACAGTCTTGAATATAGCTGTCGCTGTTGTTCTTCTGGGCAAGTCATACAGTGAGGCAGCAACTCCTGTGCTAGTCTCCCATGATTTCTTCAGACTGTCCTTTTACAACCAAACCAGTGTGAATTCAGACACACTTCCCTGGTTCAGATAATATATAGTTATTGTATCTTGGGGTCTTGGGATGAAAGACAGAGGGGAGGATGGTGTGTCTTCCTTCCAACCCAGCTGCTGTAAAGTCTCTAGCTGGGTATTCCTAAATAACCTGAAGCCAGTCATGCCTGGATGTTCCCAGGACCTATGATTGTCCACATCCATGCAAACAGACTTAGCTGAGAATCTCAAATCCTCTCTGAACAGAAAATTTCACAGTTGTCAGTATACTTATTTCAGTTTTCTGTTCTCTCATCCCAGACAGGAAAGGTTCTAGTCATTCCCTTGATGCATTCTTTCCCTCTCCCATGGTTACTTCCCTCAAATTACAGCTGTATAAAACATTAGGGAGAGTACAAGAAATCTTATTGAAGATGTGGGAGAAGAAATGAAAGAGCTAGAGAGGTCAAGTACAGCACATAACAACTTACAAAGTCAACTGTCCTGGACCCTTAGGAGCTTGCACAGACTGTACCAACAACCAGAGAAAAGTCATGGGATAGATCTAGGCCTCACATACATACTTAAGAGATATACAGCTTGGTCCTCATGTGGGACCTCCAACAGCAGGAGTACGGTCTGTCTCTGACTCTGTTGTCTTCCTATGAATGCCTTCCCCACTGGGATGTCTTGTCTAGCCTCAATAGAAGAAGATGCATCTAGTCCTCCTTGATATGCCTAGGCTGACTCATACCCATAGGAGGTTTCCCCTTATCTGAGAAGATAGGGAGGTGAGCAAAGGCAGATGGGACATTAGAGGAGATGGAAAGGCTGGAAAGAGAAGAGTGAGATGGAGTTTCTACTGGAATGAAAAGTAAATAAATACATTAATTAATGAAAAATTTAAATATACAGATGGTTACTGATTTAGTTCCCTGTGAGGGATGAGGTGAGTCATGGGCACATGCCATTGACATTCATATCTCCCCATATTTACCATTTTACCTTTGTAGAATTCAATGTATCAAACTACTTTATCATTAAGTTTCTTATTTTAATTTAAATTATTTCATGTTTTTCTTTTCTGTAGTCCTCTCCCTCCTCCCCTTGCAATTCCATCCTCCTACCATCTTCTCCTCCCAGGACTCTACCCCAGTCCACTGATAGGGGAGTTCCTCTTCCCTGTCCCTGTGACCCTAGCCTATCAGGTCTCATCAGGAGTGCCTGCATTGTCTTCCTCTGTAGCCTAGTAAGATTGACCCCACCCCCCAGGTGGAGGTGATCAAAGAGCCAGCCACTGAGTTCATGTCATAGATAGCCCCTGTTCTCTTTACTAGGGAACCCACTTGAACACTGAGCTGTCATGGGCTACATCTGTGCAGGGGTTCTAGGTTATCTCCATGCATGGTCCTTGGCTGGAATATCAGTCTCACAAAAGACCCAGTGCCCACATATTTTGGTTCTGTTGCTCTCTTTATGGAGCTCCTTTCCCCTCCAAGCATTTCTATCTCCCCCTTCTTTCATAAGGTTTCCTGCACTCTGCCAAATTTGACTATGATTCTCAGCATCTGCCTTGATACCCTGCTGGGTAGAATCTTTCAGAGGCCTTTTGTGTTATGCTCCTCTTCTGTTCCTTGTTTTCTCTCTCTTCTGATGTCTCTCCAGTTTGCCTTTCTAAATGAGGATTGAGCATCTTACCCAGGGTCCTCCTTTTTGGTTAGCTTATTCAGATTTTAGTATGTTTGCTCTATATCTTATGTTAAATGTCTAGTTATAAGTGAATATATACCAAACAAAATTAGGGATTCAATCAAAATTCTGCAAAGTTCTCTGTCTTTCTGTGACTCAGTTTTCTCATCTGTGCTACATGCTTGTATTAACCAAACCTTTGGCAGAGTGCAGGGAATATAAGAAAGAAGGGGGAGTTATTATGACCTGGAGAAGACAGGAGCTCCACAAGGACCACATATATCTGGGCACAGGGGTCTTTTATGAGAATGTTTCTCCAATCAAGGTCCATGTATGGATATAATCTAGAACCTCTGCTCAGATGTCGTCCATGGTAGCTCAGTATCCAAGTGGGTGCTCAAATAAGGGGAACAGGGACTGTTTTTGACATGAACTCAATGGTGGGCTCTTTGACCCCCACCCCCGACCCCAAGGGAGCAGCAGCTCTGCTAGGCCACAGAGGAGGACTTTGTAGCCAGTCCTGAAGAGACCTGATAAACCAGGGTCAGATGAAAGGGGAGGAGGTCCTCACCTATCAGTGGACTTGGAAAGGGGCGGGAGGAGATGAGGGAGGAAGGGTGGGAGTGGGAAGGAATGAGAGAGCAGGATACAGCATGGATACAAAGTTAACAAACTTTAACTAATATTAAAAAAATAAAAAACAACAACAACAACAAAAAAGAGTCACAAAAGAGGGAAACTATGATCACGTACATGCTGAGCATTTGTGAGAACAGTATTTGATCACAAACCTGTGGGTTCCCATCAGGATGAGCACTAACTGATGTTTCCTGCAGGAGCAGCTATGCGGGAGCTGAAGGTGATTCAGCCTGAGAAATCAGTTTCTGTCCTTGCTGGAGAGTCAGCCACTCTGAACTGCACCGTGACCTCCCTGATCCCTGTAGGGCCCATGAAGTGGTTTAGGGGTACAGGACAAAGTCGGTGGCTTATATACAGTTTCACAGGAGTCCGGTTCCCCGGAGTCACAAATGTTTCAGATGCAACAAAGAGAAACAACCTGGACTTTTCCATCCGCATCAGTAATGTCACCCCTGCTGATGCTGGCACCTACTACTGTGTGAAGTTCCAGCCTGACACTTCAGTGTCTGGGAAAGAGCTTCAGTCTGGAGGAGGCACCATGTTGTATGTGCTTGGTAAGTACTGCATTGTCCTCCTCATCCCTGATTTCTCCAACAGGTAAAAACAATGTCCAAGATTCGGTGAACAAATAAGAATCAACTGTGGAAGTAAACCCTCATGTTCATAGAGTGACTTACCCAATAGTGGTCCAAGGAACCTGAAGAGAGGAGGTGACATGCTGTTTGCTAGAGGTTCTCCTTCTGATGAATGGAGTAAATCCATGCCCTCGTCTGCCTGCCCCACAGAGTTTACCTTTCCCAATATGCCCTAGCCTAGTTTCTGATAAAGACACTGACAGCTGACTGCCTGGTTCAGTGATGGGGTCACCCCTGTCCTACTGCCTCCAGAGAGTCCTTCTTCACCTGATGAAGTCTTCTCTTTCTTCCCAAACAATCTGGGGCCTAGTTATGCCAGGTTGTACTCTAGATGTCAATACAGATGACAGGAAGCTGTCAAGCAGGAGCTGTTTACTCAAAATGTGTGTTTCCTCCCTCCCAAGAGAAAAAGCACATCATTGCACAATGTGATGCTAAGGAAGGGTGTGATTTCTTCATTTCCTGTCCAGTTACAGCACACTGAGAACATTCTGGGTATGTCTACATTCACTGTGGAATCTCTTAGCCCTGGTTTAGTTGTTGACACTAGGCTACCCTTGGTACTGTCAGAAAATACTTTGTGTCAGAGACCAACTCTCCCAGGCACTAGGTTTGGGCCTTTAGTGTTAGCTTGCCTCTTAGAGGTAGTTTCCATGAAGATTGTCAGGCCTGAGCTGAGGTAGCCAGGTGCTCACTTTGTATTTCCTGACAGAAGCCTAAATTCTTCTGAATTGGTCTTGATCTTGGGAATTTAGAAGCATGAAAGACAGTCACACTGTCCAGCCCAGTCTTGTTAGCAATGTGAGTCCTGTATGCCAGTGTACTGACGTTGATCACAAAGCAAGTTAGTGCTCAGATCGTGGCTATAATCCATGTCTCATTCCAGGCCTGCTTCTGATTAACCAAGCAAGAGACACTATGTTCACTTAGAAGCCTGATGAATAAGATATGTTGAGTCAGAATTTCTTGAACTCAGCCAACATTTTTATTCATCACCAGCTCCAAGGTTTTGAGATTTTCCTCACTCTCAGATTCTTTATACAGTAGTGATAAGAAATCTACACAAGCATCAACTGTACCTTTACCCCATATTCTATGTGAGAACTCTTCCCCTGTGGATACAAGCATATATTCCAGCAGCTAGAGATACCTTATTTCAGATCTCAGGCCATGAAGGTTTCATTTGTTTCAATTATTGGCTACACACACAGTGCCACAGTGGTTCAACTCTCATGGTTATCATCTTGCCTATTAGGCAAATGTTCTCTGGAGAAGGCCTGCTGCTTTTGAGGGTGAATAGATTGTAAGGATGTTACTGTTTTTCCACATATGTGATACAGCATGTCTTCTCACAACCCCTCAACAGAGAGAAAAAGACTGGATTTTTCCTGAATCATCCATATCATGAACAAGGACACTTGAAGTTCTAGGTAATGCAGTATTAGGCAACTGCAAACAACACCAGTGTGTCAAGTCACATAAAACCCGTAAGTTTTCAGTCATACTAGCTTTAATTTCCATACCATTTGCTCTAAGGATACCATTGAAGAAGGAAGTACTTTTAAGGATGAGCATGAAATAACAATGTGACATGACATACTTAGAGAAACTGCTGACTTCTAGAAAGTATTTCACCAATATGAGCTGCATTACTAAGGCGCCATGTGACATTGGATTTTCAGGTTCCCTCTAGGGTTTAGGTACCAATCAAGTTAAGGTGGCGTAGGTGGCTCTTCATCTAGCTATTTTTGAAATTCCATGATAAACAAAAGTAAATCCTAGATCAACATTTCTTTAATTATTCACATATGGGTATTGACTTCTGAAATATCAAATACTAACTTTTAGGCAACAGTACATATGTAATCATTCCCTTGATAGAACTGTTAGGACACCAAGTTGAGGCATTACAAACCCTCATGCTTCAGAATAGCAGGGCCCAGACTGCCGTACTCTATTCTCTAAAGCCAAAGGAATGTGCCAGGGATGCTTCTCAGGAAGAAGACTGAGGTTTTAACCAAGGCAGAGTTCTGTTCAACTGCAATCACAGGGCAAATCTTTCCTTTATTGCACAGGCCTGCCTTAAAACTATTTCTGGGTACATGAATTTCTCTTCTTCACTCAGAATTCTATGTTTTATGACACAGTGTGTCAATAACAGTGCTGTACTTCTCCCTTCTCATAGTCATTTGCTCTCTATAATTAACCCCTTGGAGGAAGTGCCTGGATCTCCATTGTACTGTAAAAGCCACTGGCCAACATAATGAGAGGATCACTAAGAAAGCAGAGGATGTCAGGGTATAGAAGCCTCTGCTCCTTAGGTGGGATTTTCACGCTAGTGCTGGCAACAACCCAGAGACAAACCATATTGTCTCTGTATACCTTTCCTGAACCAAAATGGTGAAAAAGATTAAGTGACTCTAAAACTTGTTACAAGGACAGTGAGAAGTAGGATTTGTACTCATATACTCAGACATGGGATACTAGCATCCTTTTCATCTTTCTAGAGAGAGGTTTTAATCTAGTTTTTAATGGAAGGGGATTAGGAAAAGTATCAGCTCAAGTATCAGTCCAAGACCAAGTTCTCATCATAAAGGACAAAGGGAAGAGAGTAAGAGATAAAGTCAAGGAATAAAGGTTAAGGTGAAGGGGAATGGAACAAAGGAAAGGGGAGGAAGAATATTTCTCCTAAAGAGCAAAGGACTGCCTCTGGAGAGAGAGAGGAGAAAGACATGGCTCAGAGGTAAATGGCAGTTTATAAAGGCCAAACTGGAAAGCCTGTGCTAGAATGAAGTGTTTAATTTTAACTGGGCATGTTAATTAGGTGAGCTAAAGGGGGTTTTTGAGTGATGGACTTCAATACTTGGACCTTGTTAGATGGCTTCAGCAGGATAAAGTCGTTAGGTTTAGGAATGGATTTAAGGTTTTCAGCAATGCAAAGTGAGTGGGGGAAAAGGGCAAGGCCTTCCAGAGCCACATTTGTCATGCTCAAGCTGGCCAAAGACCCTTCAAAGGAGACATTGATGTAATTACATAAAGATCAGGATTTAAATTAATCAGCTGTTGCATGTTAGATGAACTTTGCACTTTAGACTGTGTAACTTGCGCTCGCTTCGGCAGCACATATACTAAAATTAGACTGGGTAACTTCTCAGCCCTCATGCCCTCTGATCTTTATCCTACCCACGCTTCAGTCACTGGAATCTGCACAGTGAAAGAATGCCTGGAAATTACTAATAAATGGTGGCTTGCTCTGGACCCCTCAAACCTGCAAGGACATAAGGTTTACTAGAATTTAGATAGCTTGACTTCAAATAACACTTGTTTACATTCCTTATTGGATGGCCATTTGAGAAGGAATTACACATGTACAAATACAAATGTGTAATATTTGTCATATTTTTATCATAATAGAAGCAAATTATGGGAACCTCAAAATAAGGCATCTACAGGGCAAACTGCATTCATCTCAACAATCCACACACATGCATGTTTTTAGGATCCAAGAGGATTTCTGTCTGTGCAACAGGCTTGCTTCTGTGTCCCTTGAGATTAACAACTAGGAAATGATCCACCTCTGGCTTCATCCACAGAAGGTAATCTGTTTGAATTCAGACTAAGTCCAACTGAAACCCACATATGGAGATGCAGACTCTTGGGCTCTCAGTTTGTAATTCAGGACTGGGCACAAAGTAGACATAGTGGCATATAGGTACAAAGAAAAAAGAAAAGAAAATCAGGAAAAGTTCTAGCTTTGTGGCACTTCTGGGATGTATTTTATTTTCTCAGTTATAATAGATGACAGTCCAGAAATATTTATTGTAGGTTGTCTAGGTTTCATGAGGAGGCCAGCAGGAATATATGATATAAAATATATAATATACTTTGGTAATTGTCTTTCTTGGCAAGGCCTAGAACTTTAACTTCTCTGGCCCTTCCTCATTTTATCCTGGGCATCTGTGCTAAATTGTTCAGACACAGAACAAGGGAAGACCAGGACAAAAAAAAAACAAAAACAAAAACAAAACACACACACACACACACACACACACACACAAAACACAACAACAACAACAACAAAACATTGAGGAGGATGAGCACTTAATGTCTGAGGCTAGTATACTACTGTGACACTGTGATATGGAGGAAGAACAGGTCCTTAGTGTGGTTGAAGCTCTGGTATTGATCCCATGCACCATAGTAAACCATGATGATGGTGATGTTATCTAGGAAGTTTCTTCACAATGTTATGTCCTCAGTGGTGGCCATCACAGTCTCATCCTTGTCTACATACTACTTTACAGCAAAGCCATCTCCTCCTGTGGTCTCAGGACCTTTACCCTGTGCTCTACCTCATCAGACATTGAACTTCACATGTAAGTCTCATGGATTCTTCCCTCGGAATATCACACTGAAGTGGTTCAAAAATGGAAAAAAGCTCTCTCCCTTAGAAACTACTGTGGACCCCAAAGGAGAAGGAGTCTTCTACAATGTCTCCAGCACAGTCCAGGTGGTGCTGGGACCTGAGGATGTTCATTCTCAGATCATCTGTGAGGTGGCCCACGACACCTTAGGAAGCCCTCTTCGTGGGACTGTCAACTTGTCTGACATCATCCAAGGTAGGTGTCTCTGAACCACAGCTCAGGCTTATATCTGGTTAGAATGGTTTGTCCACAGTTCTCAGCAAGTATTCATGTGTACCACACAGGAGGGATAAAAGACTATGATCAGCACATGAAGGAAATTTTATTTATTTTAACATGAGAAATGAAAACTGTACTAATTATGAGCCACACATCTCATGCACAGCATTTCTGGCATTTATTTCTGACCCAGTGTATGTTGGAGTTTTTCTTATTAATTTCACTTATTAGGATCCACACTCATCACTGCCTGAGCCCTTGTGTGTTAGGAGCTGTGCTTAGTGGTTACTCTACTCTGGAACAAACACTCCTGTCCCTTGATGCATTTGCAATGGGGGTGGGTCCTCAGGATTCCAGACTCTTCCCTGTGCCTCTGTTCCATCTGCCTTGGCTTCTGCTTGTGCTTTTTCAGTTCCACCCACTCTGGAGGTGAGCCAGCATCCAACAGTGATATTGAATCTTATAAATTTCACCTGTCAAGTGAAGAACTTCTAACCTTTGATCCTTCAGTTGACCTGTATAAAGAATGGAAATATGAGGTTGAACATTTCTTTAAGTGATTCTCTGCCATTCGATATTCCTCTATCGAGAATTCTCTGTTTAGCTCTGGTCCCCATTTTTTAATTGGATTAATTGATTTGCTGCTTTTCAACTTCTTTAGTTCTTTATATATATTGGATATTAGCCATCTGTCAGATAGAGGGTTGGTGAAGATTCTTTCCTAATCTGTAGGCATTCATTTTGTTTTGATAATGGTGTCCTTTGCTTTACAGAAGCTTTTCAGTTTTATGAGGTCTCATTTATTGATTGTTGCTCTTAGAGCCTGTGTTGTTGGTGTTCTGTTCAGGAAGTTGTCTCCTGTACCAATGAGTTCAACCTCATTAGTCATCATGAAAATGCAAATCAAAATAACCCTGAGATTTCACCTTACACCCATCAGAATGGCCAAGATCAAACACTCAATTGACAACACATGCTGGAGAGGTTGTGGAGAAAGGGGAACCCTCCTCCACTGCTGGTGAGAATGTAAACTTGTACAACCACTCTGGAAATCTAACTGGTGCTTTCTCAGGCAACTAGGAATAGCACTTCCTCAAGATCCAGCTATCCTACTTTTAGGCATATATCCAAAAGAGGCTCAACTACACAATAAGGACATTTACTCAACCATGTTTATAGCATCTTTATTTGTAATAGCCAGAAGCTGGAATCAGCTCAGAGAGCTGGAGGATGGGATAGCCATTAATAAATCTTTCATATTGAAGATATAGGAGGAGGCAATAGAATTCCTATTTCAAATCAGCTATATAAAGTTGGGTGTCTGCTTATTCCTAAGGCCCATCAAGGTGCATTTTATGCTTGTTTGTGTGTAATTTCTAGCAATGCTATAGTTTCATTTCTGTTGCTGTGATAAAATATCCTAACCAAAAGAAACATAATTGATGAAAGCTTTTGTTTAGCTTGCAATTCCAACTTACCTAAAGAAAGCCAGGCAGGAATTCAAGTATCACATCCACAGTCAAGAGGAGAAAGAAAAACTGCACCTAAAATTTCTGTTTGCTGCCTGATTCTCAACTAGCTTTTCTTGCTGATCTTACACACCGTGGGGCCCTGGGTCTAATGAATTGATACATTCAGAGTCATGTTACCATCTGAATTAGAAATTAAGACAATCCTCCACAGACCCACCAACAGGTCAACTCAACTTAATAAAGTCCTTAACTGCAATGCTCTTCCTAGGCAGTTCTATGTTATGGCAAGTTGACATTGACAATTAATCACCAGACAGTGTAAGAACTCATAATTTTGTTCCTTTTGTTTCAGCATCCCAAGTGTCAGGATTATTGGTATGGACTACCAAATTATCTGTTTCATTGGTGTGATTGTGCTGGAGAGTGAGTCTAGGGCCTCTCATGTGTTAGGCAAACACCACACTCAGTGAACTATACCCCCAGTGTGTTTCTATTCTTAAAAATTAATTTTAATGTTTGATTAATTACAAATTAAAACTGGTTCTTCCTGAACGATAGAAATATTTCAGATGGCATGTGTACTGGTGTGGTCATGGGCTATATGATGGTTGAGGCACCAGACCATGTAATCTTGTCTCATAGATTCTCATCTTTTCAATTTTCTCCCTTTACCTGCATGTTTTCCAGCAAGTGTTTTCGTTGGGCTCTTTACCACTTTACTAGACCCCTTCATCCCCCAGAATCTAGAAATTTTTAGGGTGACTTTTATGTAAACGAGGAAGTGTGTCAATTCTCTTAGTCACAATTTTTCTCTTTTATGTATATTTCCTGTTCACAGCTATTCCTGGGCTATTGAGAGACTGATCCCCTCTGTGAAGGGACACTGTCTCAGGGATCATTATAAACAGCAACCTTGAGGAAAGTCTCTTGATCTCACAAAACTTGAAACCCCAACCTGCGTACAGTTATCCCTGCAAAGTGGGAATAATAATCCCTGACAAATATGATTCTGAAAACCAAGCATTCCACAGTTGACAAAAAAATATTTTTAACACAAAGAAGATGCAAAACAATTCATTCTGGAACCAATTATCATTGATCGTTTCCCAGGAACAGAGATCCCAGAAACCTAAAAGTCCACTGTGGAAGTTTATAAAGCTGTTGTAGTAACAGAAGAAAGAAGGTCATAGATCAAGACACTTGAAAGTCATTGCTGAGAACATTGGAGAGGTGTGTTAAGAGCAGGGAAATATCTCAGATGCTTCAGATTTTATGTGGTGGCATACAGCAATAATGTTGGCTGAAAAGAAACAAAGAATTAGAGGAAGATATGAGAAGATGTAAAGATCTCCCATGCTCATGGCTTGGCAGGATTAACATAGTGAAAATGGCCATCTTGCCAAAAGCAATCTACAGATTTAATGCAATTCCCATCAAATTGCCAACACAATTCTTTACAGACCTGGAAAGAAAAATTCTCAACTTCGTATGGAATAACAAGAAACCCAGAATTGCTAAAACAATTCCCTACAAAATCCTCTATAAAAGATCTTCTGGAGGAATCTTCATCCCTGATCTCAAGCTGTACTATAGAGTAACAGTTATAAAAACTGCATGGTACACACTTTTTCTTAGAAGGACAAGTTGGAGACATGAGCAGTGGCCAATGGACAAATAGAAACCTCATTACCATCTCTTTTGTTTTGAACTTTTCCTTTGAACTGGTACAGAAAACACATTCAAAATCCTCAGAGCTTTGATGAGCTTAAATTCCACAGATGAGCCAAGAGAAGACCAATGATGATGAGCTCCTTGTGACCTTTCTAATGGTTCCTTCTATGTTTTGATTTCAGAATTGAAGACTTCAGATTCTACTAAAGTCCTTGTAGCTGTGCTCTTTGGACACAAACTGCTGCTGGTAATTGGGGTCTTTGCTGTGTACATGTACAAGAAGCAGAAGGCCTGACTGTAAGTTAGAAGGGATGCAAGTGTATTCGTTAATTTTCTGTTTCTGTGATAAAACTTTATGACGACAACAACTTATAGAACAAAAGGGTTTATTTGGCAGTTTACTGTTTCAAAGACACATGAGTCCCTCACGCTGGGGAGGAGTGGCAGCCAGGACAGATGATAAGTGCTCACATTCTTAGTAAAAAAGCATGAAGGAGATTGAACAAACAGGTTTAATCCCAAAGCTCACTTTCTGAGACATACTTCCTTTAGCAAGGCTAGACCACCTAAATCCTCCCAAACACTACCCACAACTGGGAACCAAGATCCAAATATCCCAGCATATAGAGAATGGTTCTTATTCAAAGCACCAGCTGGATATCAGTGTGTCGATGAACATAGAAAAGGCAGGATCAGGAGGAAGGCCATGTCATTTAACTGTGATAAGGGCTTATTTCTGAGGCTCATCAAAAATCTCGTGGAAACCTTTGATACATACCTAGCTCACAGGAAGTATGTGCATACTGCAGAATGGTTCAGTCCAAGATCAACATAGGTGCCCAAAAAGACAGAGAGGATGTGGGGGAAATGGGCCCTGGGTAGCGTGTGGTATATTGGATTCACTATTCTTCATGGAGCTTTCTACAATAAGTGGAAGACAAGGAGTTCAGGGAAAATCAGTCTACATTATAGGACAGAATTTAGACTTTTCAGATGGCTGTCATAATGACTATTTCTGCTTTGGTCTCTCTGTGACCATGGAAAGGAACACTCAGGACAGGAATGCTAAGGGGAGAGATGTACCACAGACACTGTAACACTAAGATATTGTGTTAGTGAAGAAGGGAATATTGAGTAAGAGGTGGTTCTCCACAGCCTTTCCCTTCATTCTCTCCAACACTGGAACCCTGACTATCTGCATAGATGCTCAGTCTAGAAGAAGAAGTTGGAGAGAAGCCATGGAAGACTACTCCTAATGACTCCCTCACAAGAATAACCCCAACACGGAATTTCTTATTTTCCCTCTGCATCTGCATTTTTATCCCAGAGCTCTGATGATGTGTTCTTGGAGTCTTTTATGTCATTATAGAAATAATTTTAGGATGGACTTAAAGTTCAAGGATAATCTAACTTAGTGCAAAGAAAAATTCTCAGTACAGGCAAAGTGTAAATCTAAGCAACCTCATGGAAAACAAGAACAAAGGAAGATCAAGGGGGAAAGCAGCCTTGCTGTTTTAGAAGGCATGGGTATCAGACCTCAGAAAGGAAGGCTTACCAGCTGAACCTTAGAAGAGCATGTAGGGACCGTGCTGGGTTGGTAGAATTCTAGAAAAGATGGGGTTTGTTTATCATGTAATGGGAAAAATTATTTTGATTTCTTTTGTTATTGAGACAGGATCTTACTATGTAGCTTTGACTTTGCTGGAACTCTCTATTTAGACCAGACTTGCCTTGAACTCATTAAAATTGGGTTGCCTCTGTCTTTTGCATGCTGGGATTGATTGTAGGTTGCACCATTATAGCCATTTAGAAAAAAATATTCCATTTATCCCTTTACTGTGGTGTAAGTATATCCTTTGCCTGATGCACCAATGGGTAGGACCATGCATGGAGAGGACCTAGACTACCTACTGGCTGATTGATTGGCAGCTATGTTTCCCTGTGGCTCTCTGAATGAGGGAATCAGGGGCTGACTCTATCATGTACTCAGTTGATTGCTCTCTGATCATTGGCTCCTGATGATGCAGCCTTGCCAGGCCACTGAGGACTAGCATTCCAGCAGTCTTGGTGAGATATGATAAGCTATGGGCAGATGGCAATGGCAGAGAATTCCTTGTTTCAGTGGACTAGGGGAAGGGGAAGGGAGGAAGAGGGAGGAAGGATGGGACTAGGGAGAGTTGAGGAAGGGGGCTTCAATCAGGATATAGAATGAATAAACTGTGGAGAAAAAAATAAAAATAAAAATTATAAAAAAGAGTGTCCTTTGCCTGAGGGATTTACCCTGAGGTCTCCACCAAGATCATAGTGTTTTTTTTTTTTTTTTTCTTAAGCATCAACTTTTCTTTAATAGGC